AGGGCGACGCAGGGCTCGTAGTCGTGTTTGGAGCTCCGGTCAAAACAAACTCTAGTTGATTTTGGCCTGGGATTGAGGGGCATTGGGAGATTTCCCACCAAAACTGAGGGACTCACCATTTCCGCCCATGCATGCCCATTGATGAGAACCGCATATTTTGTTGGCTCACATACCCAACCCGTTCAACGGATTCTGTCGCACTCCCATTCTGTCGATCGCCGCGCGTTCTTATTGCATGCTGTGATACAGGCGAAATGTGATAAGTGCCGGAAACGGTACCCCTGGAGCTTCCAACTCGTGTATCTCTCAGCTGGTTTATTGTCTATGGGGCGAGGTATTTTGCTATACTTAGCCACTCTGACTGCCCATGCCCGGCTTTTTGGTGCCAAACCCAGTGGGCTTGGGTTTCCAAGTTGGAAACAGGCCAGGAATTCCAGCGCAGACAAGTGTTAAGTGGACCCTTTTCCTTTTGAAGGGACAGCTTTTCCAATCTCGGATCAATCGCTACTTCCTCGGCATTACTGCGGGGGCCCTCTCATAACTGAGCATCCGCAGTTCGTCAGTGGCACACGTTTCCCCCATTTGAATTCCGAAACCAAAAACGGGCCAGGGCAAAACGTCAACCCAAAGACGGGGTCCCCTGAACACCCCTTTGGGTCACCAAGTCGCAGGCGGAGCTCGTCCTAGACGACTTAAAGTTTAAGGAGCACATGGCGCCGGATCTGCTGGTGGTGGTGCAAAGCGCGGAGGAGGCCGTGTGGCGAAAGAAATTCCGGGAGGAATCCCATAGAATCCTGTCTAATGCCCACCGAAATAGTGGCATTCTACGGTTCTAGGGCCGTGTTCTGTGATACCAATTTCACAATTCCCCTCATGACAAAGTAGTCCCAGAGGGTGGGCCCGCTTTATGGTATCATATGGTATCACATGAAGTGTCAGGCTCGTTTCGGCCCTTTGCGACTGTAGAAGCTCAACTAGACATCTCTTCTTTGGGTGCCCCCACTAAACATAGCCGTTTCGTTCTACCAAAGTCACGTGGCAGCGAGGCCCAGCACGGGTCCTCTGGTTTTCACATAGCTAAGACGATGCCTGGTTGGTTTGTGCCCATATGCCCTGGGGAACAATGTGATGATTCGTTGGAGCGCCGCGCACCCATGAGGGTTCTTGTTAGGAGCAAATCAGCTTGGTGAATTGCACTTGAGACAGGGAGTTGCCACGTCGCTTATGCCCATGCGTTTCATGTTGGTTTTCCTGGAAATGTCATCCAATACCAAAACGAAACAACATAAATAGGATGCCCCCCCCCCTCCCGAACTTGCGCACGACAGGTCTGCCAAGCTCGGGCTAATGCATCGGAGAGCAAGCCCTACGTGGAGAAGGCCGGCTTAGGTCAAATTGTTGAACCAACCTTGAAAAAGGGGGAAAACGTACCCTCAAGAAAGCAAAATGACACATATGACTTGTGATAGGTTTGCTCAAGTGTTGCGTTGTTCTTTTCGGCAGGGTGAAATAATTCATCGCTGGGAGTCTGAGAAACTCTGAACTTTGAGCTTTTTAAGAAGGATATCGTCGCAGTTTGGTGGCATGAGGAGAGGGACGTCATGTGTAGCAGGTTCGCGGGTTCACCTTGTTTGTTGACAGGCACAAGTCAGCATCCGGCACAACCGATGCCATTCAAACAGTCCGAGGAGCCCAGAGGTGCTCCCTACTTCGACTTGGCGGCTTCCAGCCATACCCTGCTGGATATTTGGAGCTAGAGATGTGTGACATATCCCACTGGTTGAACTTGGGGGTCAACGAGCCAAGACTATGGCGCTTGTTTGGTTTTGATTTCCTCACAGCTTGAACTGCACAGACTTTACTTAAGGTAAGATGGTCCGAGAACCCAGCCTCGTTTGCAACAAGAGCCATCCTTCTTAGCCTGGGTGTGGTTTCCCTATTGGGGTGGGATGGCTCTCAAGTTTTCGAGGGAGCCATATTTTGGGCCTAAGTGGATGAGTTTATGTTTAAGAGCATTGATTTATCCCTGGCAAAGAGCTTGACATATGCAAAGGGCAAAGCCTACCGAAACCTGAGCGCATTTGGGAAGCAACAGCCCAAATGCCAGACAAGCCTCCAACTTGTTTGGTGGACATCCTCCATGTACAGGATTTGCACCAGAGGGTCCTCATTTTCAGTTTGTCTGGCTTGTGCTGTACGCGCCAAAAAGATATTAAGACGATTTTTGTTCTTTGAAGTGGTACACAGGAGGATGCCACATGTGTTGTCAAATGCACGGTGAAACATGTGAAACTGCGGATTTGCTCGGACGGCCAATCCCAGCATTTGCAAGCCGAAAGCCGGATCCTTTCAGGAGTTTGTAGCCACCATGGACCAGTGGAAGAAGGCCAGGATGTCGGATTACGAATCGATTGCCAGAGGGTTCCTTGAGTTTTGTGGCATCCTTTTCCCTTTTGTTCGTGCTAGCCCCACATAAAATGTTGCGTGGCAAAACTCGAGACATTGGGGGCTAAACCTGCTCAGAAGTTGAGAAATGGCTTTGCCCAACACATTCCGGAAGAGTACTCCTTGTGATCAGGATTGAGCAAAGTTGGTTTGACGAAGCCGCCATGGAGCTTTGAACGGCTCAATCATGATGGCTTAGACATATTCAGACGAGTGGCAATTGCAACCACTCCTGCCTGGCTCCGACAAAGAAAGAAGGGTCCGGGTTGACCGCTTTTCGGCAACTGAAAACATCCAGCTTGGCTCCCACCAAAACTTTTCCCTGGGTCCCTGCATTTCCCTTTTGCTTTCTGGAGATTGACCATTCTCCCACTAGCCAGAAAGCAGTTTTGCGTGCATTGTGGCAAGGGAAGAAAGAAAGAAAGAAAGAAAGAAAGAAAGCAAGAAAGAAAGGAAGAAAGAAAGCTATAATAAGATAGCTTACCGTTTTGCAGGGTAAGACCAAACCAATGTGGGGTGGGTGTCTCTCAAATCGAAGGGCATCCAAGGGTTTCAGGGTGAGGTGTGAAGATTGCCCAAACCTATGGTGCCTTTTGTGCGGGGTTTCCCTTTTAACCCTTCTTTTGGGGGCGGGGGTTCCAATTCTGAGGGCCCTCGGGCTTGTGTGAAGGCAGTGTCCTTTCTGCCCAGGGCACATAAACTGCACACCTCCCTGAGCATGCTCTCGACGTCACCCCTGGGGAGTGACGGGAGATCTCCGGAGACACGTGGAAACTGGGACCTCAATGCTCACTTCCTGCTGAAGCTAGGGATTCAACTCGTCACTTTGGTCCGTGGAGGGATGGGTGTCTTCAAACTCAGATGAATTCTCGTGGACTGTCTGGTCTTTCCATAAATGAGAATGGCACCCCACAAATGGTGGTTCTCCTTTCGCCTCCCTAACCCACTCAAACAGGGCACCTCTGAAAAACCACCCCATGGCTCCAAACTCAGGACAAGGACGCGCTGCCGGAGCTCTTCGGCAAGATGGGCGCTGAGCCTGTCACCGTGAGCGCGGACCTTGCGGCGGAGGTGCCAGCGCGAGCCGCTCGCTTCGCGGCGGTCGGCTTTGAGGACGAAGGCGGATACGCATGTTTTGCTGGTGCTCAGCAGGGATGAACCTAGTGATTCCCTTAATGGAAACCGAGGGGATGGTTTGCAGGGGTCATTCCAACTCATTCCCTGCTGAGAACCAGCAAGATGATGCTTTACCTGTTTTTTACTCTCCAAAATTAACATGCAAGTGCACAGACTCCAGGAGAGAGACTACTTTCCTGATTTTGGTCGGTGGGAGGGTACAATAAATGCAGTACATTGACATACATTGCAAGCACAACACACCAACAATGACTTGATTTGGGAACGGGGTCCTTGCTTTCCTGAAAACTACGAACAACAAATCGTACTAATGATCGAGACACTAAGGGCTTTACCCACCCACAATCGTGCTCAGAAGCCTCCGATCAGAACCCCTTCGGTGGGTGGGGGAAAGGCCCTAGGATTTGCCCAGAAATCAATCGCGGGGGTGACTCTCCCATTCTTGAGATTCTGCTTGCCAGAAGGCGAAAGCTCGTCCGAGAGGAAGAACCAACTGCCAGTTGGCCAATTTCTGTTTGGCGGGTTCCGAAGCCACCAGACATGGTCAACCCCAAAAATGGGTTCCATTTCGTTTTCTATCCGAGTGACTTGGCGATGGCATAGGTCCGATGCGATGGATGGAGACTGAGCTGGCTGTTTTTGGATTCATCCGCACGACTATAATAAGGTAGTAATCATGGGTGGTTCGTATTGTTGATGCGGAATTTCGACCTTCTGATGAATTCGAAGTTCACATTGCAGGTGTGGCGAATGGAAACTCTTCCGAGAATGGCATCCCCTTTGTGGCTGTTCGAGCTGGGTGCCCCTTGTCAGGCGGAGAGGCAAAAGCACGAGGCGGATGTGAAGGCGGCAGAGGAGGAGCCGTGAAGTTTCGAGTCAACCAGAACCCGAGGCAATTGCCTGGTGCCAGGGGATGAAATCAACAGGGAGGAATTCTGCCATCTTTTCACCCAAAGGCGAAGGGACCGTCCCGATCATACATATCTGCCTGGATTCTGAGAATACGTTTTGGGGTAGACTTGTTTATCAAGTTGACTCAGTTGGCTGCTGTGAGGCAGACTCCCCAGTGCATCGATTCATCCCCCAGCCACCCAACTTGATTGGTGAGGTTCACCGACTCGGTTCCCCCTACAAAAGGCTTCGAACCCCCAAAAACGAGTTCCTTTTTTTTTCCACCGGGGTTGAGTAACTTGGAACGCCTCATTTCGGCTGGCGCCTGCGCAAAGCAGAAGCTGAAGCGGGGAACTATGGAACAGAGGGAAATCCTAGGTTCGGTTTGGGGGTGAACATTCACCGAGGAATATGATTGGCTTGTGGCTTCCCTCCATCCACAAGGTTTCCACATTTTTTGGAGCCTTGTGGATGTCAGTTTCGGGCTCCGGTGGTTGATGAACCAGTGCAGAGGTTGTTCTCAAAGGAACACCGAGGGGGGAGCATGGAGCATGTCATGTTCTGTCGATTTTGCCAGAAGGGTGTAAGCTTCCCCGAAGCAGGGACAATGTAGTTGTTGGGTTGGTCACAAGGGTGTTTTTGTTGCTGATCATGTGGCCATGCCCTTAAGGGCACCCTTGGTAGAGTGCACCTTGTCACTAACAAACCAGTGGATCAAACTGTCGACGTCAAACACATGGAAGTGGGCATGTTTGGGGGGGGGGGGATGGTGAAGAAATTTGCACCCCGGAAGATTTGGACGATGTAAGATGTTCCCCTTTTTGAAAGAATCACACATTGCAGGTTCATGACCACCATGTCAAGCAGGGATTCCGTTTCTGACATGCAATGTCGACCCCGGATTGATACATCCTGCAGATTAAGATGCGCCTGGGGCCTCCCTGCATTCAACTGTGCTGGCATTTTGCATCCAGAGTAAGTCCAGTAGAGGCGGGGTTTGATTTGGGTGCGTGTGCTTGTGAGGATACCCAGAGGAAACTGAAGCCAAATGGGGGCACGCTTGATGAAGCCACCAACTATTCAAAGTCAAAGTCATAGAAAAATGTTACCAACCTGCCAAAGTCTACTGTTTTGACCCTTAAACAAACAGGCATGTCCTTTGTTTTGTGCCTTTGCTCGCCGACCCTTCTACCTTAGATGTTTCACAGAGCCGTTGGAGGCTCCCACACGAACCCCTTTGGAAGACTTGGTTCCATTTACAGGCCAATTGGGGGAGCTTCCGGCTGTCAGTCTGAGGGAGTGGTTCCCCTTCTTTTGCATGGCCAACGCTCAGTTTGGGCCCACGCACCCGACAGGAGGAGCGGGAAGTGCCGCCCCTGGATGAGAGTGACCTGGTGGTTCTTGCGCCGGGGGCCAAGAAACCGAATCAAGCGAGAGGCAAAATTACACTTATAGGGGTTGATCAATATTCCTGGCCAAATGAGCATGGGTATCTTTGCCATTTAGTCGGAAATATCATGTGTTTAGTAGCTTTCCCCAATGGTCACCCCAGGTAAAGAACTTTTTGATCAACCGCCATAGCCTGTGATGACTGAACTTGATTGTAACGTCCACAAGCCCGTTCCAATGATTTAGGCATTTTACAAATGTTGAACTTGATTGGGGGCACATCCTCCATGGTTGACATGTCCAAAAGGTCCTTACTTCAACGATACATGTTGCATCCGGGAAATGAGATGTTGACATCCTTTTCACGGGAATCCCCGCCGGACCTGAAGCTGCAGTTTCTAAGGATCCAATGCCAACCCCAAGAAACATTGACGCAAGCTCTTGGGAGGTGCCCCAAGGGCCTTAGATTCCCATTATGCCCAGCTTGGTACACTCGGGACATGCTAGCTTGGGAGCAGCTAGTTCCATCCCGATCGCATCCAAAAACGGCGGGGTTTCTTCTGGTTTCCTGAGAACACGCAAAACGGGCAGACGTAAACGGACGATGACATGTCTGATAGCCCATACTTTTGGTTTGCCACCCAATCTCGCCAAAGCCCAACGGTGCCTATACCCCAAGAGGGTTGCATAGCATGGATTGTAGCCCTTCGGAGTTCCGCTACGGACCAGTGTTCCATTTGCTCCAAGAGCTTCACCTTGAAGGTCCAGGTTTCTTGGTCATGGCCAAAAATCCTGCCCACAGTGGTGGGCTGTCGCACTGTCTGATTTTCCTTTGAGTCTTCTGTATGGCGACCTAAAATTGTTGTTTTCGCGGTTTCCCTTTGAAATCACCCAAATTTGACTCAACAAAAATGAGGGTGTGTCCTTTGGTTGGTTTACAGGAAGGCCAAACGGGCTGCCGCCATTCGTGTTTCTTCGCACGGATCCCCGCGCCGAGATCCAGCAGCTGGTCCTGGCTAGAGGGCGCCACTGCCAAGGTCTCCTCAGCTTTGGAGGCGCCTCTCGCTGACTCGGGGGGCAGGAGGGCGGGGGGGTGGTGGTGTTGGTCGAATCGGGGGAAACGGATAGGGCAGCTAACATTGGTTTGGTTTCGTGATGTGGATTTTCCTTGCACATGGCTGCCACTTTGCGAATCGGCCGAACATGTTGGAGTCTGTTGAGATCAATATTTGTTCAAATCGTTGGCTTATAAACGATGTGCTGTGTCGCATTCTGAGCGCAGGTCCCCCTCATTTTGCCACTATTTGAGCAGTACTTTAGTACAGCGCCGAGGCCAGTTCTAGTATGCCCGATGAGGCTATACATTTCATTGCTTGGACCATCCTCAAGTGAAGATTAATCGCCATCCAAACGATGTCCACCAAAGGGTGAATGCATAGGACTGGACATTGCGAGACTGAGTCATGCTCAGGAACCAAGAGTGTGCAGTCGCAAGCTAGCCAGTTGCCCGCTGGATTCTACCCTTTATTCAGCTTTTTATTGCGCGGTTCCTCTTCAAAATCACCTGTCCCCCGCTAAGACAACACAGAAAAGCGAGATGGCGGGTTTTCCTCGGCTCTGGGCAACCAAGTCAATGCTAGATGCATGGGTCTTCAACGCGGCACGACTGACTGTTACGGTGCAGCTGGGAGCCTTGCAAGCAGCCCTTGATTCAGGACTCTGGAAGCGCATCCTCTGGATTTTGCGGGCTCCCCCAGAAAAGCGTGCCTTCTCAAAATGAGAAAGCCCTGTGTTGCAGAACTTAGGTGACAAATGAAGCGCCTCTGAGTAGAGTTCACCGTCCTTTCCCAGGGTTCTCGCGCATTTTGCTGTTTCTAGAAGGCATGAGACCCTGGGGAAGGCTCGCGGATGGGGGTGATCCTCGATTGATTTAATGTCTCGTTTCAGGTACTCAGGCGGTGCCAATCGTCTTGCGCATTGCCTAATTTTTGTTCCGTGGTGTCAGTGGCTCGCGTGATTATATGTGGCTTGTATGTGTTTGGCGCTTGCTCGCTGTATGTGTTGCTCTTGTGCATGCCATAGTATGAAGTGTCGTTCACTGTTCCAGGCCATGCTGTAGTGATACGCAGTGTATATTTATTTAGCATGGCCCAAATTCTAGTTGCGGCAACTTGTTGCATGACCTCACGTCCTCTAGTCCAAGAAGTCATCTTTGAGAAAACCGAACACTTGTGCTTCGGCTCGTGTTTCCGTTTGGTTTGGGTGTTTTGGAGTGGCTCGTGCGTGGGACATCTGTGATGTAAGGAGCGCTTTCCGGCGTTTCCGCGTCCGCTCGTTTCAGGGGCGGCGCCCCGTCTTCAACTTTCTGGCTCCCACGGTGGAGTCCCCCGAGCCGTCCAAGGATGGGATCGACCATGGGCGGGGACGGGAGCGGGGGATGGCGGGGGGGGTTTTGAGATCGGCTGAACACACGAAGAAATGAAAAAAGAAAAGGCAAGACACAAGGAAGCTGAAAGTAATGGAGTTCAAGTAACCACCATTGCTTAATTTTGGAGTTGTGTTCATCCTAATTGGGTCAACTATTGTTTGTGTCGAACTGTCGAACCCTAGGGCTACTGTTTCCAAGTTTTGGGGACCCTGAAAACATGGCCTTCTTTTGGTTCTGCTTCATAACGAAAGGCTTTCATCGGATTTATGCCGCCCTTTTCCCGACATTTTCCTGAATTCAAGTTATTGCATTTTGAACTTGGGCAGATTCCTACTTTTTGAGTCATCCCCCAAAACTCAGCCTCCTGCCCCCCCTCGCCAAGATTGGGAGATGTTGGACACGCGTCCCGCAATCGCAGACAAAATGACACTTGCAGGCACCTTTCGGGATTCCTTGATTCTACCTTTGAAGTGCACCCATCTCCCCCTTCCAATTCAGAGGCTTCTGGGACCCGAATCCGGGTTTGGACAATTTGGTAGCAAGATCCCCCCAGCATCTCCTATTTCGGAGGTTTTAGGGGGTGCCCGTCCCTCAGCGAGGGCAGTTTGCTAGCTATGCTCGCGTTTGGACACCCAGTTCAGCCAATTTCTTGTCAAGATTTCAACACTTCCGGAGCCCCCCCCAACTCTCTCCCTGGGCCAAAATGTGGCAAACCCAAAGTTTAGACTTCTTGGTCTTGGCCAATCAACTCAAATCAGTCAACACCAGTGCACATGGTAAGCACCCACGTTCCTGCGTCTTTTTGGTCCCCCTTTCCCACATAGTTCTCCCAAATGTATCTCAACATCCCAACTAAATGTGTTGGTTCCCTAGTGTTTTTTACTGCCCATCCAAAACCGTCTCGATGTTGAGACCCCCCCCCAAAGAACACCGACCCGTCAGGTGGAGTCTGTGGTGGAGGAGGTGGTCAACGAAGCCCCCAATGAGGAGAAGCTACGCGCGGAGCAGCGGGTGGCGCCACTGCCGCAGCTGCGATAGGGAACCTAGGTCCCCCAGCAATTGGTGCCCTTTTACCGTTTCTTTTTTGGTTGGGAGGGTTCCCCTACTAAAATAGACTACAGAGAAAAAGGGTACCCTTATTCTAGCCTCTCTGGAGGACCTAGGAACAGGGTTGTGGTGGATCGCTCGGGGTTGATCCCCCACTTCTGAAGGGATTGTTTTTGTGGGGGGTTAGTCTTTGGGGGTGTGCCTTTCTGTTGTATCACAGAAGTGGATTCCATTTCCCACAGCGTTCTCGCAGGGAATGACCGAGTCATGAACCGTTTGGGAATTCCCTGAAAGGAAACCACATGGCATATCATGGCATGGTGTATGGGTTTCATTCCCTCATTCCCTGCTGAATGAGTATGTGTTCATTGTCCAACCTGTTGGTTTTAAAGGGAACGATTTCACTACTCAACAAAGAGATGAAGATAACAAGATTCCCGAGAACCGAACAAGTGCTAGAATGCTGCTTAACAAGGTCTGCGAACATACTTGGGATACCCTCCCGTCCACAAAAGCAAATCCCAAAAGGGACCCTGCACACATCGTTTTCCATGTCGCATTCTTCCAGAGGTTGGTTCCTCCTTCTTTTCAACCATGATTCCTTTCAATTCTCTGGATTGTTCTGTGTTGTTGTTGATCGGGTTTGCTTCCTGCTCGGCGTTTCTCTTGGTGGTATTGAATGCACTCATTGATTTGTATGTGGTTTCCTTATCGCGAGTGTTTCGCTCTACCCATGGGCTGCTGCGCAGTGTGGTCAGGCGGCAGCTCACACACCGCTGGCCGGGTGTGGAGCGCTCGCTCAATAGACGCAACCGCCCTTCCAGTGGCGGCATTTCGCGCTTTGTCCCCCGTGGCTTTGGGGTCGCTCTATAGTTTCCGAGCAGTGAGCAAGACCGGTGAAGCGGCACAATCTGTGCCGGCTGCACCACATTTAAGCTTTGGGTCATCGTGTCCGGATTGGCCCTGGACGGCTGCGCCATATCAATAGCGGCACAATATCAAGCCATCGTGTCCGGATTGGTCTCGGAACTTGCCATGCGGGAGAAGCCATAAATGCCGGGGCAATTTGTGTTGCGTCTGGGGGCCTTGAGGCCAACGTGCCAGTATCCGGGCATATGACAGTGAGGTGCTATGGGCTATCGCGCTCACTGGGGATCCCCGCAAAAAGGCACCAAACAGAGGTGCAAATCCTTTGGTAGCTGACGCGTCAGCGGCTGAAGAGCTGGAGGGGAGGCCAATCAGTTTTTCGACTGGCGTACTGCGCGGGCCCCACGACTTCGCTGAAGGAAGTTTCTAGTTTGGCTCAGCCAATGCCGCCAGCGGTCGCGAGACTGCGAGACTGGGAGGAAGGCACCCAGGAATGCGTGTATTGCTGCACGTACTAGGCGACTAAATATGCGTGTTGTGGATCTAAACAGAAGTTTTCCCCTTGCAAATCCTTGCTTGGCACAATGCAATCTTTGTTTATGAGGACTTGTCAATGGGTTGCTGTTTCCGAAGAACAGCTCCCTAAGGGCTTTGGTTCATAGTCGTTGCTTTTTTTCTGTGGCCAAAGATGCGAACATCGTAAGTTTCGTTTATTTTGATCTCAAAGTTGGTCATGCTGAATGGGAAGGGTTCCCTTTTTGGCCCGGTTCGGCGCCAAGGAACACGTGAAGAAGGAGGAGTTGGTCGGAAGCTCATTTGGGCACTCTCCTGCTAGCGGTCTTCCAGGATCCCCGATTGCTGTACAGACAAGCGAGCGGTAGAGTCAATTTACATGATGCAACTTATAAGCAGCCATCATACTACCCTCCCAGCAATTAACATGGATCCCTTTAAGAGAAAAATGGTCCAAACCAGCACCCCCGCGAAAGTCAGGTTCCATGTTAATGGATGGGAGGGTAACCTCACACTGCTTTGGTTAGAATCCCGAGAGGCACCGACTGAGGCTCGCCTGGAGAAGCACTCAGAGCCTTTGAGGCTTTATCTCATGAAGTTCGTGGTGCGCCAGTTGATCGAATTGGCCCATGGAATCCTATGGCCAAATGGGTTTCGGAAACCCACCGAAATGGGCGTGGTTTCAGCTTGGGTCCGCCTTTCAACAACGGCAAAAAGGGCATCACAAAGGACTTTGTCTCCAAATTGAGTCAAATGAGTCCTGGAACCCCAAAAATAAGGGAGGTCCCTTTTGCCTTCTACGTACCATCAAAACCGGGTTGACCTCAACTATGGGCTGGAGTCTAAGAATTGGAGGGTTTCCTGCCTTCTTTGCAAGACCAGGGGAAAGACGAGGGTCCCTCTGACAGCTGATTGAACAGTGCCAGTTCTGTGGGTGTTGCTAAAGAGAAGGCAGGAACTTCCTGAGCGAATTTATCAACCCGTAGCAAGCAGAGAGCTGTACCTCAGTGTTGATTGCCTGTTCCATGTTGGCACTCCAAAAGACCTCTTGTTTCCGCGATTTGCACTATATCAGGAAGGGGGGGGGTAGTCAGAGGCGCAGCGCAAGTTAAAGCGACTTGGATATGCGGGTAGTGTGAACAAGTGGTGTTTTGGCAGGTATCCAGATATATAGTCAGGTTCTTCGAGGCTCGTAAAGTGAACCACAGAGTGCTTAGCTCACAAGTGTTCGGCAAACGGGTCAACCCAGAGTACTGCTGACAGCTGCAGAATGCGGAGCAGTTCATGCAGTTCCTGTCAAGAAGGTGATCAGAGTCTACCCTTCACTGAAGCAAGCAACTTCTACTTGATTGACTTGCACGGCCTATCTTGGAGCACATGCTGAGCATTCGCAAGGTGGCGCAATGTCAATGACCGGGGTCGAGATTTCGAGAATTGGAGTAGTTGCCTTTGGTCCCTTTGCAGGCACAGGGTATCATCGACCTTGCTTGCACTTTTTGGAGGAATCCTGACCCCCTTTCAGTGTCGTTGCGTGGGATTCGTTTTATGACTCGGTCCATCGGTGGTACTTGGGCTGGCTAGGGAACAACAAGAAATGGATGGCCAGTTTACCATGCATAGATCACACTTTGGGATCGGCCCAGTTCTTGAGAGGAATCCACTTACTCACTCCTTTTGGTTTGGTGGGTTCAAAACTCAACAAGAACTGCTCAACCCAAGCAGGGTTCCCGTTTTCTATGAACTAAACATGTTCATATGAAGAAAAAACAACAGCACCTTTTTCTACCTTTCGGCTGTCAGAGGAGCCTAAACAGGTTTACAGCAAATGGATTCCGATCGCATGCACCATGCCAGTCACAGCTTTCGAACACTCTTGAGCATCCCACTTTTGGGGCACGGAATTCGTGTGTTCTTTTTTCAGGGACTCTTTAGGTCGGTTGAAAAGGAAAAGGACCACCGCCAATTTTGAGGTCCTCCAAAAAAGAAAACACGTCCATTTGAGGTCATATGAGAGGGTTCCGGTACCTTTCGGGCCGCTGGGGGGTCGCCCCTCGAGGTACCTGCGTTGACCGGAGCGCTGGTGGAAGTCTGCCACGAGCAGCCGGAGGATCCCGCCAGTCACCGAGCGGGTCGATCTGGCGGCAAATTGGATGCGTGTTTTTTTAATTGAGGGTACCCTTCTTGGCCGGTTGTGAAGGGAAATCCAAAAGGAAGCCACGCATTTTGGGTGGTTTAGAAAGAAACACCCAAGTCGGTTCTCAAACTGGGTCTGCCGAAAAATAGGGAGTTGGGCTTCGGTGTTCCTTTTGGTTTCCTGTTGAAGCAAGTTGAACAAGGTACTAACAACAAAAACACGCATCCAACTAGGAACCCCAAAATTGGTTTTGACCCTTAGCTTCCCTGTAAACGCCATCTACAATGAAGAAGGTACGACGAATCGGTGAATAGGAAGGCGATGGCTTCCCTGTAAAGACAACCAACAAAGGACCTCAACAGAACCACGTGACCCACGGAGCCATACCAACAAGGTTTGAATTAAGTGGCTTGAAGCACGGCACGAATGTGGCAAGGTATTTGCCGCGCGGCCGTCGGAACCTCCCAACTGGACCTGCCAGGTGTTCGACCGATATCTCCCAGCCATTGGGACCTTGGGAGGTGCTCTCGGGACAGAAAACGAGGCTGGCAAAAAGGCTTGAAGGGGCCACCCTGAAGTTTCTCATTTTCAAGGTAAAGCATAGGATGGTTCCACCGCAGAAGCAGGTGGCTCGCACTCTGCAGTCCCACTCACTGTCAGGAGTGCATATGTTGGTCGTTCCCTTTTTTGCGAGGGGGGGGCCAATGTTGTCACCTGTGAGCGCCAGCGTGAATCAACTGATGCTCCATTTGACAATCGGAGCAGGGCACCGCAAAGCGATGGTAACGACTGACACGAATCCTTGCGGGCATCTTGCAGGGTTGAAACGAGCTGGAGACGTCAGACAGCAAGGTGTCAGAAGCCCTTGAAGCCATGAAGAACAGGGTTCTGCAAGATGCTTGTAGGTTTGCTTTGACCTATTTGAAAGGTTTACTTCCCACTGCTGAGGTGGGGTATTTGGCAGAGTACCTCGCCCTCTATGCCGAGGCCAGGAAAGCTGTCGATTGCTAGCACAAGGGCCGTATGACCACACGCCCATCGGCTAGTGTTGACACCTCAGCAGCAATCCGATCTAAAAGCCATGCTAAGCAACTAAGTCAGGGGTGCCAACATGGGATTTCGTTGAATCATTATGTCAGGGCTCAGATGCGGAGGATTCGGAAGCTTTGCTCTTGTTGCCAAGGACAGACGCGACACTTTGTGCTTTCCCTTTCTCTCAACTTACTAACCAGCCACGCAGTGAAGTAAAGCATTTCACAGATTCATCCAGCTGAACTCAGCCGAAGCCTTGGAAGCAAACCCCTTCAGCTCGGTTTCCACGAATGCCATGGGTGGACCCCAGCTGGGCCGCAGGGTGTCATACCTAAAAGAAGTAGAGCGTGGGTTTCAACAGCTTGCCGTCTCATCTACGTAATTTAAAAGGGGCTCGAATGTTAAACGGGGGTTTCCTCCCAGATGGTTGGAATCATGTTGATTTACTCTTCGTACACCCAATAAGTAAACAAATAAATAATAAATCGATATGTAGATATATATATATATATGTCTATTGTATGTGTATATATATATATATAAGTGCGTGACCATGCAACTACTAGATCCTCCGGAATCTGTAGAGGGGGGGAAACCCCAAAAGGACAACTGATCTCCATCCTTTGGAGGGGGTCCAACCTCTGAAACACCACCGAACCATGCCTCAGGTCTCCAAAGAGCGGCGGGCGGAGTCCAGGCAGCTGCCTTAGCTCCTGGCTTCATGGGGTTGGTCGCCTGCCTATGTATGACCATGGCGACCGATCCGGGGGTATAAGGAGCTCAAGCCATGACAAGGGATTTGGGGGATCCAATTCTTAATTCAGCTTTTGGAATTAGAATAATATTTGTAGGTAGGGTAGTCGGCCGAAACACATACCATGATAGTAGAAACATTGAATACTATGGTTTGCAACTAGGAATTTGAGCCATGTTGAGAAGCAAGCGCTCGAGCTACTTGGGGAGATCTTGGGGAGATCTTCTGAAGCGTTTTCAAGTCCACACTTTTCCTGTGCAATGCACGGAAGTGAGTGCCTGGTTTGACAGGGTGTCTGGTTCGAACGTTGGTATCAGAGGGGCATGCTTAATTGACCCCGCCCCCACAAAGAGGAGTTCTTGTTTTGCTTGACCCGTTTCGTTTCACCCGGTGAAACACCTGTACCTTGGGAAGATATGTGTTTTGTGTTTCCCTTTAAAGCCACCTCAAGTATTGTACCGATAGACTTTGGTGTCCGTCTACAATAACACGCACGAATGCGTTCTTTTTGGTGGAGGTGAGCAACCTGAGCGGCGCAGCTGTTTCACCCTGTCGGAGTTGGGTGCGATCAAAAGCCCAAGGATTTGCAGAACTCTTTTCCAAAAGGACACCAAACTGGCGTGGATATTTGTTCACCCTTTTGTCTCGATATGTGTTTCCGGCCTGTGTTTGTTTAGATATGTGCTGCCGGGCAGTTGCTTCGGATTGCTTTTCCCCAGACCCCCTAGTTGAGACTCGGTAAGAGTGGCACGTATCCTTGTTCAACCCATTCCTTGGCTTGCTGATGCCGACTTTGTAGAAAGGCGTACCCTTGTGGGAGAGGATGTATGAGCAGCAAGCCTTTTAGGGTCCAACGGGTATGTAGCACACCTAAATCATAAATTGGATGTGGTGGGTGCAGTTCGCGTGGACCTCAAAGAAGATGGGTGTGTTCCGGTCTACCATTCAGAGCTTTCTGGCGAATAAAAGTGAACGACCCCAGCTAGGACATTTGCCACGTGATAGAGTTCCATCACCTAGCCTCATGACAGTTTGTATAATTCTTGCTCCTGTTTTTCAAATGAGACCCTTACACTCCCTTTTCGGTTGCAAGTGCTCAGAGACCTGATTCGTTCGGATTCTGATTCAGTGGATGCAGTGACTTGGCACGGATGGTCTTTGAACTGCACCTCGATCCGACAGCAAAGCTCTCTGACCAACCTGCTGGGAATTCGCCTGGCGGCTGCGCCTTGGAAGAAAGCGCGAGATGTATCGATGGATCGATATTCAGATTTCGAGCCCTTATATATTTTGGTCGGTTTATCTCAACTCAGCATTTGCATATGTCCATCTTTTGGATTTCAAGCATTCTCTTTGGCGCAAATTCAGAGTGAGCGTCCGTTGGGTGAATTTTGCAGAGGGATGAGGGAGAAGGTGTTTGTCTTAAAATGCGGGATCCCTCAAACTGAATGTCCCTTTGTTTCCCTTTAATTAGACCCTCCAAGAAGGAGAGATCCTCAAACAGGACGGCCAGCTTTGGGTTTGCTTGTGTGTGTGTGTGTGTCGTTGTGTGTGTGTGTGCGCGTGTGTTTGTATTTGTTGGTTTTTGTGGTTTTGCCGTGTTGCGGTTTTGTGGCTTTGTTGTGTGAGCGTGTGTTTGTGTGTTTGTGGGTGTGGTTGTGTGCTTGTGTGTCTGTGTGTTTGCGTGTCTGTGTCTCTCTGTCTCTCTTTCTCTCTGTCTCTCTGTCTCTGTGTGTTTGTGCGTCTGTGTCTCTTGCTCTCTCTCTCTCTCTCTCTGTGACTGTGTGTCTCTGTGTGTCTCCGCTCTTTGTTGTCTCTGTCGTCTCTCTGTGTCTGATTGTGTGTGTGTGTGTGTCTGTGTGTGTGTGTTTGTGTGTCTGTGTGTGTTTGTGTGTTGGTTTGTTTGTGAACATGTGCTGATGTTGCTCCTATCCATGCCTCTAAAAGCAAACACCGGGATTATTTCTAAAGGGGCAGGCTGACATCAGAACTCAATGACTTACGCGAGTCACTTTGTTGGGAATAATTTATTGTTCTCGCTGGCAAAACGGAGGCAAATCCAATTTCCATACATAGTTCCGTGGAGAATTGATTGGTGCGGTGATTCAATAAAGTCCTCGCGCCTCTCCCAAAGCTTGTAGACATGCCTCTTGCTTGAGCCGAAGACCAGCACTTAGTTCCAGCCCATAGGCCAAGCTCTGGGAAGGGATTCATTTTGGAGACTTGATCAGTTTTTCGGAACATGAGAAGTTGAGGGATTCGGCAACGTGCAGGAGGGGGCTCACACAGAGTGCCTTGCAGCAGGCGCGTGGGACCGGGAATCTGCTGACCTTTAAGCCTAAGACAATCGGAAACATTTGTTGCATAAGAATAGGGATTCGGATCCATTAGCGATGTTCCAGTTTGTCTCTCCTATTAAACTGAAAAGGGGCTTGTTTTGTGGAGGAATCACCTGTAAGGGACTCGTTTGTTATTGGTGAGGGGTTCAATTAAGACTAGCTTGAAAACTCCTCTCATGGTTCCTTCAAGCAGACACGCAAAACACCCAACTGGTTGGTCCCTGGCTTCGACTTTGAGAATCCTATGCCTTGGCATTTGAGGTGCACTTGTTTGGCCTCAGGGGGGTGATTGTAAAGGGAAACAATTCAGGCAACCCGTAATTGATGGTTTGGATTGGATTTGAAATTTTGGTTCTTGTAGAGGGTAGATGGGAAACCCTTCCTTGACCACCAAGCCATCAATCCAAACCACCAATCAGAGGGAAGCTGAACACTAGAGGACGATTGGCCCGAAAGCATTTTCCACAGGCGCTCATCCAGCCGCGGAGACACCTTTTTACATCGCTGCGGCGAGCGTGTCTGCGCGCGGCGATGCTCAGTGTGTATGGTCACATGAGAGCTCCATCTCATCATCCTACTTTCCTCTCGAACTGCGCCGCGCGATTTCTCACGAAAGTGGTCTGCGCAAGCTGCATTGTTCCAGGCTGCTGCGCGCAAGTTGCTCTCTGCAAGCTGCTGCACGCTGCTGCACGCAAGTGCTCTGTGCAAGTTGCTCTGCGCAAGTGCTCTGAGCAAGTTGCTTTGCGCAAGTGCTCTGCGCCAGTTGCTCCGCGCAAGCGCTTTGCGCATGTGCTTTGTGCAAGTTGGTCTGTGCAAGTTGCTCTGCGCCAGTTGCTCCGTGCAAGCCCTTTGCGCATGTGCTCTGTGCAAGTTGCTCTGCGCAAGTGTTCTGAGCAAGTTGCTCTGCGCAAGTGCTCTGCGCCAGTTGCTCCGTGCAAGCGCTTTGCGCATGTGCTCTGCGCAAGTTGCTCTGCGCAAGTGACTCTGCACAAGTTGCTCGGAATGTACTTCGCGTACTATTTTTGGTACTTAAAAGTTGCGATTTTCCAGCCGGAGCTGCGGGGGTGTGCTCCGCGTACTACGTTTGTACTTAAAAGTTGCGATTTTCCAGCCTGAGCTGCGGGAGCACGCTCCGCATACTACGTCTGTACTTAAAAGTTGCGATTTTCCAGCCGGAGCTGCAGGAGTACGGTCCGCGTACTACGTTGCGATTTTCAAGCCGGAGCTGCGGAGGTGTGCTCCGCGTACTACGTTTGTACTTAAAAGCTGCGATTTTCAAGCCGGAGCTGCCGCGGACCAGGGGGGAATCGAACCCGCGACCGCGGGATTGCGAAAGCAGGCGCGCAAACCACGAGACAACTTCCAAAGGCCGTTTCGCGAGCAAGAAAATTGCACGGCGCCACAGCGAGAGCGCTTCGACACGCACAATCTCCGCAGAGGGTTCGCCGAGACTAAGACAAATTCGCACGGCGCCACAGCGAGAGCGCTTCGACGCGCACGATCTCCGCAGAGGGAGTTTTTGAACCTCGACCACGCGAATCTCCGCAGAGGGTCGCGCGCGCAACCACGCGAATCTCCGCAGAGGGTCGCGCGCACCGCAGAAATCGTAAAAAAGTCCACAGTTTTTGATCCTCGACCACGCGAATCTCCGCAGAGGGTCGCGCGCGTACCGCAGAAATCGTAATTTTTTGACCTCGACCACGCGAATCTCCGCAGAGGGTCGCAATCCCGAGCGACGATCAAACTCCCGCCCCGGCGCCTTAGAAACCTAAACTAACTTACATAGCTGCTTACGCCGAAGCTCTATGCAAGCTCTACCTAACCTTGGCTCCGTGCCACCTGGCTCTGTGTCACTTGGCTCTGCGCCACTTGGCTCTATGCAACTTGGCTCTATGTAACTTGGCTCTATGTAACTTAGCTCTATGTAACTTGGCTCTAATGTAACTTGGCTCTATGTAACTTGGCTCTATGTAACTTGGCTCTATGTAACTTGGCTCTATGTAACTTGGCTCTATGTAACTTGAACTTGGCTCTATGTAACTTGGCTCTATGTAACTTGGCTCTATGTAACTTGGCTCTATGTAACTTGGCTCTATGTAACTTGGCTCTATGTAACTTGGCTCTATGTAACTTGGCTCTATGTAACTTGGCTCTATGTAACTTGGCTCTATGTAACTTGGTAACTTGGCTCTATGTAACTTGGCTCTATGTAACTTGGCTCTATGTAACTTGGCTCTATGTAACTTGGCTCTATGTAACTTGGCTCTATGTAACTTGGCTCTATGTAACTTGGCTCTATGTAACTTGGCTCTATGTAACTTGGCTCTATGTAACTTGGCTCTATGTAACTTGGCTCTATGTAACTTGGCTTTGTGCAACTTGGCTCTGTGTAACTTGTCCAAGGGCTCCGCACGGAAGAACCCTTCGCGATGCCTTCGGGAAAAAGGAATCCGCCCACTTTGAGGGTCCACCGATTTTGACACATGCCCTATTTTAACGCCTCCGGCTCAGGCCGCCGACATTACAGGCCTGCTTTCGTATTTGCGTCCCTTTGGAATTCTCCCCTTGCCCCCCTTCCCCTCTAAGATCTTTGCCCCCCTTTCCCTGTTGAGATCATTTCCCCCTTTCCCCCCTAAGGCCTTTCACCCCCCTGAGATCTTCTCCCTTTTCCTCCCTAAGATGTTTTCCCCCCTTTCCCTGTTGAAATCCTTTCCCCCCTTTCCCCCCTAAGGCCTTTTCACCCCTGAGATCTTCTCCCTTTTCCTCCCTAAGATCTTTTCCACCCTTTCCCTGTTGAGATCCTTTCCCCCCTTCCCCCTAAGGCTTTTCCAGATCTTCTCCCTTTTCCTTCCTAAGATGTTTTCCCCCCTTTCCCTGTTGAGATCCTTCCCACCCTTTCCCCCCTAAGGCCTTTTTTTCCCCTGAGAGCTTCTCCCTTTTCCTCCCTAAGATCTTTCCCCCCCGTTCCCTGTTGAGATGCTTTCAAAGCCTTTTCAGATCTTCTCCCTTTTTTTCCCCCCTTTCGCGTTTGACATCCTTTCCCCCCATTCTTTTCTAGGGCCTTTTCCCCCCGAGAAAGATTTCCATTCTCCTCCCAAAGGTCTTCCCCCTTTTCCTCCCTAAGATCCTTTGCCCCCTTTCTCTGTTGAGATCCTTTCCCCTTCCCCCTAAGGCCTTTCCAGATCTTCTCCCTTTTCCTCCCTAAGATCTTTTCCCCACTTTCCCTGTTGAGATCCTTCCCACCCTTTCCCCCCTAAGGCCTTCCCCCCCGAGAGCTTCTCCCTTTGCCTCCCTAAGATCTTTTCCCCCCTTTCCCTGTTGGCCTTTTTCCCCCCAGATTTTCTCCCTTTCCTCCCCAAATCTTCCCCCTTTCCTCCCTAAGATCCTTTTGCCCCCTTTCCCTGTTGAGATCCTTTCCCCCCTTCCCCTAAGGCCTTTTTAGAACTTTCTCCTTTTTCTCCCTAAGATCTTTCCCCCCCTTCCCATTCCCTGTTGAGATCCTTTCCCCATTTTCCCGCTAAGGCCTTTCCCCCCCCTGAGATCTTCTCCCTTTTCCTCCCTAAGATCTTTTGCAACCTTTCCCTGTTGAGATCCTTTCCCCCCTTTCCCCCCTAAGGCCTTCTTTTCCCCCCGAGATCTTCTCCCTTTTCCTCCCTAAGATCTTTTGCAACCTTTCCCTGTTGAGATCCTTTCCCCCCTCTCCCCCCTAAGGCCTTCTTTTCCCCCCGAGATCTTCTCCCTTTTCCTTCCTAAGATCTTTTCCCCCCTTTCCCTGTTGAGATCCTTACCCCCCTTTCCCCCCTCAGGCCTTTTCCGTCCTGAGATCTTTCTCCCTTTCCCTCCCTAAGATCTTTTCCCCCCTTTCCCTGTTGAGATCCTTTCCCCTCTTTCCCCCCTAAGGCCTTTCCCCCCCTGAGGTCTTCTCCCTTTTCTCGCTAAGATCTTTTCCCCCTTTCCCGGTTGAGATCCTTTCCCCCCTTTCCCCCTGAGGCCTTTGTCCCCCAAGATCTTTCCCTTCCCCCCCGATCTTCTCCCCAATTCCCCCTAAAATATTTTTTCTTTTCTTCACTTTGCTTCACTTCGGCTCATGTCCCTTTATGTGTGTTTTTGCTCCCTTTCTTTCATTTCACTTCATGTCATTCATTTCCATGCATGTTCCTTCATTTTCCTTCATTTTCCTTCATTTCCAGATGTTCCTTCACCAGTGGGCAACATCCCCAGCATCACTTGCATCATCCGCATCCTTGACAGGCGCTGATGCGGATGATGCAGGTGATGCTGGCGATGTTGCCCAGGAGGAAAGGATGCAGTGGACCGGGGGGAAATCGAACACCCCAATGTTTCTACGCAACTGTGTTCCGCACAGGTGTTAGAAGAAAGGATTCAGTGGAACGTCTTGCCCTGCAATAGTCGGGAGGGGTAAGGGCTCCCGATGATTTGCATGTTTCTTAGATTGACCACATGCTTTGACCATGGCTTGTTGTTCGGTTAGGTTCTGCTATGTTTTGCTCATTTTCAGTGAACTACAAACAAACTCATTGTTCTTTGCTAGCCTCCTATTGTTGGGAAGATGCATCTCCCCGCATGGCAGGTTGGGGATGATCGCGATTCGCTTGGCCTTCTGCGGCTGAAAGTGTTCATCGGAACACCCTACAATCTGATGGTGCACACAAGCCCCGTTGTTAAAGATCCGCAATTGAGTTCACACCCTACTGAGTGTGTCGAATGTGATGTGTACCGCGACATGGGCTGCCAGCCGCTTGTTTGTTCCCTTTGAACAACCCTATTTTAAGTGGCCCCCACAAATATATATGTATATATATATATATACAATTAATTCCCATGAAATGTTTTCCTCCTCCGAAGTTGGTACTTTTGTTGGCCGTGGCTGCTTTGCCTTGGGTTGAGCCCTCTTTCTTTTGCTCCTCGTCGACCTCATGCCTCTGGTGCTGGATAGGCATTGTGAGGGTATGCGACTCATGCAGGTTCCTGGCTGGTGAATTGTGTTTCACCCACGTTGGAATTGCATTCCCCGAATTGGAGTTGATTCGGCCACGACCTGTTGAATTGTGCTGAGATTGCTACGCGAGCCCGTGGCAAGTTCCCGTGGAAGAGTTCTTTGACCGCATATAAGTGTTGCTTGTTGCTATTTGAGGTTAGTTGGATATACATTGTTTGTTGCTAAGGTGCTTGAACTTAAGACGCTTCCCTACTTACCTTGCTCATGCTTGCAGCGGGCCCATGCCCAGCAAGCTGCCCTTGTGTCCGTCGGCTCGGTCAGCTTGCTGGAGGAACGAATTTCAGGGAAGCAGAGAGGCACTTCATGCACAACGAATTCTGTGTTTGTGTGTGCAAATGGGACACCTAGGACCTAGGACTATTGCGAGGGTGTAGTCTGAGAAATGTTGAGTCTGCCTGCCATTGCCTGATTTGCAAGATTCCGTGAAGATCAATTGCTTTGAAGCTATGGCACGCCGCAACGTGCTGCCCTTTGCACCCTGGCGGAGTTGTGTGTGTGTGTGTG